GAATAAAATTGAACACTATAACAAGGATGAAGAAAGCATGATATGACCTAAATTTTGATGTTACCGATCGAACATTGAAGTACAAACCGTAAACCTTAGATGGGTATTACAAATCTTCCACTTTTACTAATAGAATTTGGGCGTGGGTCTCGAGAGTGAGAAAAAACTAAAGAAACTGTCATTGATTTCCTTTTCTTTTTGAAATTATATTGCTTTATAAAATGTTTATTAGGAGAGAAAAGAAAAAAAAGAGTCTTCTGAGTATGCGTACATAAATCTAAAGACCAAAGAAGGATCAACGGAGAAAGAAAAGATAATATAAAATAGAAAAGAAAATTTGTTGTACAGGATCTGGTGATAAAAAGTATAGCGAGAAACGCCAATCGAAAATAAACCCAATATTCATAAATGCACTTAAGTGAAACTCACTTTTAAGAGCTAACTTTTATAGTAAATAAAGAAAAATATTAATATTAACTATTTATACTATTAGCTTCTTCTGATGAACTAAAACTTCAGAGTTCTGAACGAAAATCATGAATTTCATTTTTTCAACATCTAACATTGTATATATTTCTAATGGGTTTTATGCTAAGCCAAAACTGTAGTGTAGCGCCCTCAACTGCATGGAACTCATATTACTGAAAAAGTAAAGAGGAAATTTGTAACAGCTTTTATTTTTAAATATTTCTATGGTATTTTATCGTCTAACTCTTCATAAAATCAGATAGTGCATAATCAGTATTGATTTGATGATTTATCGATATGTGATCATAGAGACTAATGTGATGTAGTTCAATAATATCATTTGAAATAAAAAGGACTCATGCTGGGAGAGAAGCACAACCAAAGAAAAAACCTACTCTGTAAAAGGATGACGTTGTGTATATAAGCTACCATAATTATTCTGGTATTATTGATCCATATTCGACGTAGAACACAACACAATAAACTATCAGTTTTACGACGTTCCATTGAACAGTAAGTTAAAAAAATCGTTAGTAATCACTTAAATTTATGTAATATCGTACAATTTGAGAAAAAGACAACGATATATAGTAAAAAAAAACATTTAATTCTGTTTTATCACTCTGTAATAGACTAATTTGTATTGAATTGAATGTAGGCCAGTTTGTTTTTTTTCTTTGATATGCTTTCAATATTATATCTCTACTCTTTGTTTTGATCCTAATTAGTCTCCTTCCTTTTCGATGTTTCCATGAATCAAGACATTTGTCTATGGTTTATCTTGAACTCCCCATTAGTACTTCATTTATTGTTAACTCATGACTTAGTAGTTTTTTGTTTTCTCTCTTTCCTCATTGTTTTCATTATTTATCTGATCTTCACCTCTTATTTTTCATTTTAGTATTTTGCTCTTTTCTGTTAAAACATTTTATTTTAACATCAGAGAAAACTTTTGTAGTTGACAATGTCATTCAAGAAAGACTATCGAAAATGACAGAAATTACTTTTACTGGTTTTTTTGCAAAAATGAATTCTGTATAGACTATTTTATGATGGAATCAACTGACATTGTGTAATTAGATTGTTACTATTGCATAGTAATACCCCATGTAGTGGAAACCGGAAAAAACCGGCGCTTAACCGCGGTAAATCATTATAGATTACTAGCTTTTCTTCTGGTAAACTGCAGTTTACCGGCACTGTTACAATCTAGGTTTTGCCCATATTTTTCTTTGAATAAAACATTTATTTTTGAGTTAAAAGTTTATTTGAAAGAAAACTATGTAAGTGAATTTAAAAAAGTCATATTTAGTAGAAAAAACGAATAATTTACAATAAAATTACAACAAAAAAGATTCAAAAATAATATTTCAAAAAGAAGTCTTTTTTAAGTTAATAAATATAAGCTTAAAAAATAAAGAGTAAAAAAATAGATTTAAAATATACTAAAAAAAACTTAAATATCGAATCTAAAAAATGGATCCGAAAACTAGCGTTCAAAACATAATCTAAAATAGCTAAAAGAAACTATAGCTTAAATTAAAAAAAATTATCTAAAATAGAATTTAATATTAAAATACTAAAAAATACTGCTTAAAACAGGAAATAATCAATCATGTGTGCAAAAATGCGTTTAGTTTTACTGCACGCAGTATTCATTACTTCACCATTTTATCTAACTCTGCGAACGAGTGAAATAAACGAAAGCTCGTCATACACATGTATATATATGTAACTCTTTTTTCGTTCTGTATTTATTCATTACTTTCTCTTCACCAGCAAAAATAACGGTAAATGGCGGTAAACCGCTAAAACTGTTCCGATTTTCGCAACATCGGACATATACCACGACCATTAAATGCTTTTCGTTCTTCGTATAATACCCATATATGATGCTTATAACTAGCGAATTATTTTTTTACTATACGATGACTGCATAATGCATTCTTTCGTTTTTATCTTCCATCTATATGAGATAGATCGAAAATAGCTTGCAAAAGTGAACTCTGTCATTTTCGATAGCCTTTCTTGACTGGTATTGTCACTAACAAAAACTTTTTGCTACTCTTAAAATAAACAGTTTTATGCTGTAATATCAAGTCGTTCATTTACTTATGTATATTATGTCTCTTTTCTCTTGTCTCTATGTTCTCTTCTTATTTTTCGATAGGACAAATGCTCGATATAACATTTCAGCTGCGTCTACTCTGTAACATTCAGCATATATATATCTCCTCCTTTATCGTACCTATTATTATAATGGTTTGTTTTTTATAGCATATGAGTTTATCGCTGTCGTCACATATATATACTCTTTCTTCCTTATGTATCGAATTTATATCTGTTGTTGTATAGTAGAAAGATTATTTTATTTCTTTTTAAATCAAATTAGCTCAGTTTCTATGGTTTCTTTCTGTTTTCTTATTTTGCATTGTTCTCGTTTTCATTTCTTTCCTTCATCCTCTCTTTATTCGTTTTATTTCTGTGCTGCGGTTTTACCTAAAGATTGAAACGTTAACTATTTCTTTTTCTCGATTGTTTGAATTTCCCCTAGAGTTAATCGGTTTTTATTACAATTAGAGAATTGTTGAATGGAAGGAAGAATAAATATCATGACAATAGTGTGCTTTAACCAGATTCTCTGGCATCGGTATCTTTTCTTCGTGTATTCCTGTCGAAACTTGATTGCTAATATGATACATACATTCGTGTCTTTTTTCTCTTTTGCATTACCGATATGAAGGTTCTCCTAAATATTCTAGGCATTATTGGTAGACTGTTGTCTTTTCCGTTTGATTACCATTACTATTGTATTTATTGGCATGATGAAGCCTATTTTCTTTCTTCTTTCTCGATTGCTTCGATGAAGATTCTCATATTTATCTGATACATTATTGTGCGAACAGCATCCGTTATTTTTTGTTGTTTCCATTACTAAAAGCGGTACATCCAAGCGTCTTTCTTTCTTTTTCTTTCCAATTGAGACAGAGATTATCCTGCGAAATATATCTGCCATCTTGAAAACAATATCTTTCTTTAGATTACTGCCATAACACATATCGATGCGGAGGACCATAGTTTTCCTTCTTTATCTTTCCTTATTTTCACGGTTCTGCTGCAAGTCTAGTCTATAACGCGCAGGTGGATACACAGGTATGAATTTGAATGATGCTTTTCAAAATTTTCTCATACTCCAAAATGCTCATTGAGAGACTAGTGCATACTATAAATAATTGGCATTAGATTTACAAAAGTGGCAAAAGACCGAGAATGAGATCTACTAAAATATATTGCTCGTACGAGGCATTTAGTGTGATGATGAAAAATTGTTTCAAACAAATTTTTTTCCTATGAATGTATTCTTGAAGTATGCTGATGATGAGAATGAGGGCAATGGTGATAGATCTCTCTTCATTCTCACTCTCACTCTTGAGGATCATTCATAGTGCATTGTGACTTACGTTAATCGACAGAGGAAAAAATCCATGTGCTTGATTGTTTGCCAATTATAGCAAAATGAAAGGAAGATATTGAATAATTTTTTTGTTTTACCTCAATTACCTTGAATTTGATTGCTTTTTACTATACATACGACGATAGTTTGTACGCCGAATATATTATGTTTTTTAAGAAAGTATTGATACTAATTTTTAATCTCCAGTTTCATACAACTTGTGTGCATCGCTCTAGATTATCTAAGATCTATTCGTCATACGGAAAGAAACAATAATGGTAAACAAATTTTTGGACGAACCTAATGCTATCCCTGACGATGAAGGTTCAAGTCCAATCTATGGTTATCAACACCAACCTATCACAACATTAGAAGAAGCTATTCAAGGCATCACACATGTCGTTCCTAACGTCACTAATTACTAGAGCTGGGCGAAATACTCGAAGGGTCGGTACTCGAGAGGGATTGGTACTCATACACATACTCGATGCTCTTATATTTAAAAGTTTAGAAGTATAGTACTTTTTATGCAAAGATAATCATGTCTGTGTGTGTTGTTTAAAAATGAAACCAATTACTGATGGCTTCCTTTCTATCGATGTGAATGTGAATATACATATAAGCATTCGCACCACAGAAAGTCTTACAATAATGGTCACATTCTATTGTCGTTATCCTCCTTGTTAATTCACTTATATCCATTAGGGGTGTGGGTGTCATTCTTCTCTGTACCCACACCCACACCTCGAAACTTTGATTTCGAAGAAAAAGGAGACAAACCAGATGGCCTGTCTGACATGTTTAGATCTCCAGTGCGAATCATTACTAAAAGGTCATAGCCACATCGATCAACACCGACACCCCATACCCACACCACTCTCCAGTCCTTAATGATGTTTAACACCCTTGTTTTAGATTCGATGATAAGCATACAAATTGAATTTGAATTTTATCAAAAAACACACACTTGGCTAGTAAGACAATTATGTAGAAAGCATTCTCTAGTTTAAAATTATTCTGAAATAAACACTGTTCTTGAAACATTGTTCCGTGTAGTCACATTGATTTAAGTCTGTATCTAAGCTGTATAAGTGATTTTCAAGTAAGGCAAAGCTTGACCATATCGATAAACGATATATTCAGTGAATCCATTTAATTTTCCTACAACTGAATGATACGGCAGTGGTGCCGACACCAATTCTGTACTCGGTGCTGATTGATGTGATACATTGCCCAATACAACTTTAGTGTAATATATAACACGTGTATCATCGTTTAGATCAGTAACTGTATACTGATGCGACTTTGCAGGATCGTCAGCAAAATATGCACCATGACCTAAATGTTGAAACACAGAAAAAAGTGTTAATATAAACGTCAATAACGTAACAAAAGCCTGACACCTTTGCAATATGAGTATGAAGTTAGTCTTGTATAGATTTCACTATGGAACAGTTTGTTAAAGCTTTAATAAGAGCTTCGAGAGTTCGTCCAATACACTCAATAGACAATGGTCTTTTACAGAATGACAAGCTTGAATAGAAATTTTCCTATCGCATCGTTTTGTTCATCTAAGGATGTCAAAAGAAAAAAAAAGAATTCTATCGAATAATTAGCACATCCGATGGAGCACACTGATAGATATGACTTTCCTAGGGTTTATTTCACTCTTCTATTTCTATCTATGTTCTCGACACTTCATACAGAGAAAAAAAGTTAAATTTTGTTATAAAAAATTGTATTTAAAAATCATGGAGCTGTTTAAATTCTGTTTCTTTTGATTTTAAGAGTCTCTGTATCAAATCAAGTAATGAATCAAAAGACATTATTTCGCGTTGTGGAATATCATCTTGGTATATAATCGTACTGCGAGGTGTGCTAACATGCGATTTTTAATCATTTATTTCACCGGAAAACTCCATTGAACACAATAATATTGACCGAATCGATGCTCTTAAACAAGGGTCTTCCTTGTTCTGAAAGCATATATGCTGTAGATATTCGTAATCAACAGCGATAAACATTTACTAATATTTTTTTAATAGATTTTTTATTTTTCTAACATTGCCTTATTGCTCTGTTAAAGAAATTGATTTAATATAAAAATACTTTCAGAGACATATTATCTAAAGGTGGCTTAGTTAAACAGACTACTTGACACATCAGGAGACTCTCTCACTAAGTAACAAATTATGCTGTCATTGCTCTGGATATTTTTAAACAAATTAAGAAAATGATTTCGTGACTTTATAATGTATATGATGCTCACAAATCACTTACCCCAATTTCCCTCTTTACTAAAATAACGATCATCGAAACCATGATCTCGTATACCATCAATTCCTTCTCCACTTGTGCCATGAAAAAGTTCACGTTCATTTGGATCAAATCCTGAACATTGTTTAGCAATAATTTTTTTTAATGCTTCATATTGATCTTCTAAAAGTGGATTTTTTATCTGTTCAATCGATATAATATTTACTTGATATCCTATATTATTCATTTGTTGTTCTACATCTTTATATAATCTGTCGGATGATGGTAAATGTACTAGAACAGACCAATATTTTGAATCTGGATTTGGTATAATTAAGAATGGCTGTCCTAATTGTGTCCAACCACGAATATTTATCATTTTATCAATACGCATTTTAAGAGTAGGATCAACTGGACGAAGAACTTGAAGTTTTTTATTTTTAATATTATCAACAATTGTTTCAAGTTCGATTAAATATGGTCTTTGTTGAATATCAACACGCATTCCTAATTCATGTGTGTAACCTTTTTCTAATGATAAATTGTTCACATCGAAATCAATACGATCATGTGTTAATGCTACGTGTGGTTCAATTAAATCTACTGTAAATGGACCTGTTGGAGCATCTTCATCAATTAACAATACATATCTCCAGTCTTCTCGAAATACTTGGCATGTCATATGATATTTGTATAATTCATCTTGAAATTTCTCAATATTAAAATCAGCATGCGTTGACAAATGGCAATCTATATCTGTTGGAACGACTTCTTTGTTAATCGATGGTACGGGACTCATACTTTCAATCCAGTCTTTTGGTTTTAGCGAAGGATCAGCTGGTCTCGATGTATAAGCACCAACAACCCAATCACGTACAAAACCACCTTCAACTTTGCAAGAAAATTTACAAACAGCTATCCAAGCGACAACTTCCATTCGAGTTTCACGAGTCGCATTTTGACCTTTCACACTTTTGTATAAGTCTATAAGTGTTCGTTTAGTGTCGGTAATATGAGAAATTCGTTCTTCAATATCATGATATTGTGCACGCACTTGAGGACGAAAAACTCGTGGAGGAACGCCTAAATATAATATAATAATGATCAAACTATTAGTTTGAATCACACTTTCACAAGGATTCAAACATCCTCTGTATTCATACACAGTGTAAAAGATCTGATTAAAATTTTGTAACACTACTATTTTGTTACCAGTTCGATGTAAAGTCTTGAAAGTTTTTGTATTTCTGTTTACGAATTAGTCAAAACTCAAGAAATTTGTTATAAAAAAACTAAGTTACATTGATGACGCTGCGCAATATCCGGAACAAATCTGAATAATTATTATCGCCTTTTTTCATCATTGAAAACAGATATCTGTTGAAATCATTGTTTGAAAAAAGAATATTATGCATTTTATGTATTTCGTTTCAGTGTTAGAGGTAAATCAATTTATTGAGTTTTTACTTACCTGAATTCGGACGTCGCATAACAGCGCAATATCCTAACCATCGCACAAATGATTTGAATTCCTTTTTAATATTTTCATAATCCGAATCTCTAGCAATAATCTTTACTGTAATATTCTTTGTTGACGTATTCGGATTAACAGTTATTTTAGCTTGTCTTTCCGCTTCCCAACGCCAAATCATTGGTTTAAATATATGTGGCATTTTCATTACACTTTCTAAATTTCGTGATAAATTTTTATATTCTTCTGTATCTGGATCAAAACGATTTTCTAATTCAAACTCAGGTTGTTCAACTGTCAATTGCTGTCGAATATATAACTCAGCTTTAAGAGAGGTACCAGCTTTACCTTCTATTGATAGTGTATCCGAAATTAATTGAATATCAATTGAATGAAAGTTGGTTTTTGCTGTTGGTAATATATATTTATTTGTAAGATACGCTGCTTCCTTTTCATTTAAAACAATATTTCGTTGAACCTGATATTCAATCCATTCCGGTTGAAGTTCACCGAGAAATGAAAGAACAGCTCTCGAACGAATTGACGACGCATAACGAATATCTCTTGCCAAAACTAGAGGAACAGGCGACATACTTCTATGTCGAGCAAGAGTCGATTGTGAATCTAAGACAGCAATATTTTCATTAGTTGAGTCATATCGAACATAATGGTGATTTCTTCCATATATTTCTTTTAATGAAACAAAAACGTTTTCGTAATATCCAGCTAATAATGATTTAGCGATTGATGGCCAATCACCAGATGTAATTTGTGATTGTGCACGATATTCAACTAATGAATTAAAAGATCTTTCTAAACTGACATATCGTCTTAACGCTTGTCGAAGAATATGATGAATAGCACTGAGACCTTTTACTTGGCAAACATATTGTAAATTAAATTGATTGTCTGGGACTGATTGTTTAACAAGTAAAATTTCTCGCATTACATTAAACAATGTCATAAAATCCCCATCTGAACTTTTGAGATGTTCTGGTATTGATTTCAATAAAGCACTAGTATTAAGAACGCTTAAAATAGACGAAAGATAGATAAGGTCTCGTCCACAAGAATTGTTCTGAAGAGCAGACAGTATACATTTTGACATTGCTAATGAACCAAAATCGGGTAGTTTAGCAAGAGCTTCACCATGCTTTGTGAAATCTTCACTTGGAGCAGCTTTCAAAATGCCTTAACAAGAATTAATGCACAGTTTCTGATAGTTAATCATTCTCTTACAATTATAAGCATATAGTATCGCTTTCTATTCATTTAACTCTCATCACAATATAGTTTCCAACAGCAGGACGTTAGAGTCTTTACATAGTAACTGAAATGAATTTTATCAATTTTAATTTTTAAAACACACATTAGCAACAAATTATTTTGTCTAACTTTTGCAGTTATGTTCGTGTCTTTGTAAAAGTGATCGAATACCAAAATCAATATGTATTTTTTGAACGGAAAACTGTAAAAAAAAAGAATTTCTAGAGTTTTAAAACTTGTTTCAAATTTTACAACTATACAGTAAAAATTTCGAATCTGTTTCACTTGTGTGTTCCTACTGAAAATCTATTATTGTATTTCGAAACATCTTTTGTTGCGAAATGAATTATTGGCACGTTTTTTGACTCACTGCATATTAAATATTTAGAGTTTAAAAGGATCCAATATACTGTACATCAAGAGATTCTATTTTTCTTGCTTGTTTTCATGACAGAAAGTATATATCTCGTGATTGTGTTTCGTTAGTCTTTTAGTATCCTTCTACATTAGATAATCTGTATTAATGATCATCTTCTATGTGTCTCAAGCTACGATGAACAGGCTGATTATTTAATGAACATTACTTATAGCACCTAGAAAAACAACAAAATATACTCATCATTTTGATCGTATAGAATTCTGTTGGATTCAAAAACTAGAAGATGATAGAAAGAATTTCTTGAAACACTGTTTAAAAAATGATCCACAACAAATTTTCACACGATATTCATCTGTCGTAAACTGAGGAATTTTCCGTTGTGAACTATATTGAGTTTGATTTCTAGATGATTTAAACTATGTATGATGATAGAATTCAAAATCTATACTTAAGTTTCGCGAATTCCTCGGATACTATATACTGTTTTCAAAAGTTTAAATTAGCTTCATCTTCACATCTCATCATGCATTTTGCTTATGTCTGATATAGCATGTAATAATAGAAGGGTTACTATCAGTATAGGTGCGGAAGAGAAAAGCAAGATATTAGGATTGAATGTGGATGAGGATCTTCATCTTTTTTTTTCTCATCCATTTTATCACATCTATATTACTGACATAGATATTGGTTATAAACATTTCATACCTAATAGTCGTAATGTTTTAACAGTTTGATCAATTGTTTTATTTGGTGGAGAATCTGGAAAGAACTGTTTCATATGGTGTAATCCTTGTTTCAATGGTGATTTTCTTAATGCAAACTCAATATTAGTCAAATCTGATTGACATATTTGTGGTGTTGGATATTTTTTTTCTTCTACTTCAAAATCGTACAACGAATAATATTCTCCAGGTTGTGTTCGACCCAAACGTCCAAGACGTTGTTTTATTGTGGACTCTGCTGCTCGATCTTCTTGGAGTACAGTTCGTTTAGATTCTGGATCATAAACGGGTATATTAATCATACCCGTATCGATAACATATCTTAACTGAGGAAATGTTAATGACGTTTCGGCAACTGTGGTCGAAAAAAATACACTTCCATTTTCAATATATTCTTTTTGTGTAGAAGCTTGTTGTGATTGAATAAGAGGATAAGCAATAATAACACCACCAGTTATTGTTTTCAATAATGAACAACATTCATTAACATCTTTGACAGAACTAACAAAACATAAAATTTGATCATGTCGTCGACGTTTTTGATATAATTCTTGTACAATATTTAATATATTCTCATTTTTACGAGAATATTTAGTTATAGGATGTATGGTACCCATCTGTGGCATCACAAATTCAGTTAATGAGACTTGTTTTATTTTACGAAAAAGATCAGGTACAGATGAATCAAGTGTAGCAGATGAAATAATTATTTTCATTTTTGATTTTAATGCCGGATTAATAGATAACATTCGTGCTAATAATGCTAAACAATGATCAATATTTACGGATCTTTCGTGAACTTCGTCGATGAAGAATATAATCGATTTGTTTAATTGAGTGTTATGTGTAATGAAATTTTCATCATAAAGTAAACGTTCTTTGAGTAGGCCATCAGTCACATATAAAATTTTAGCTCTTGGATTTCTTTCAGCACCACTAACAGCCCATCCGGCTAATTTCTCTGAAAAAGGATCTTTTACTGATGTCATTGTTTCATTAACCCGTTGACAAATTAATGTACAAGGTAAACGTCGAGGTTGTGTAACAATAATTTTATCATAACCTTCTGCAGCAAGTAGAGCTGGTAATAGTGTAGATTTTCCTAGAGATAGAAAACAATCAAAATTAAGCGTTGTAATAAAAAGATTTTTTGTTTTACCTGATCCAGTTGATGTTGAAATTGTGGTAACTGTATTCTGATTAACTTTATCCAACAGATCTAATGCTGATTCAAACAAAGGTAATTGAGTATAAAAACAACAAGAGTATATGATTAATCTTTGTAATAGGCCAGGTATCAAACCAAAATGTTTCGCATGAAGACCAGTAAATTTTTGATTTGTCTTAAAATCCTCTTTCAATTGTTTAATGAATGTATCTAAAACAGAGACTGCTTTGGGGCTTGGTTTTTTTTCATAATGATTTCGTTGATGAGTAATATTTTGTTCAATAAATTTTTCAAGTGTTTGATATTTGAGTGGTTCAATTTCTGTGATGAGTGGTTTATCTTTTATAAAACTATCTGTTTGTTTTTCTAATTCAGCTTTTATTGTTGTTAAATCACCCAAAATACATTGGTCGATTAATAATTTTTTTTTATCTTCAATATAGATATTAAATAATTCAATGTATTCCTTTGATTTTTCTCGTAGTAACTGATCGAAAGATTCTACATATAGGCTCCAATGTTTCATTCGTGAGTTAACTTTTTTTATTTCGTTTTTGATAGGTTCAGTAACTTTTTCTAGATGTTGTTTGTAGAAATCTTTGGTTTTTTGTATTGATTTTATAAATTTTCGAATGCGTGCGAGCATTGCTTTAAAGATATCATGATGATCTTGAAAACCAATAATTGTGACAGTAAATGACTGAAATGACCCATTCATTACTTCTCCAAGCAACATCTTTGGTATTCTATCATTGAAATACTTATCAACTGTTTGGCCTGTTTTTTTCATGTGATCAAGAATTAAGACTTGTTTTGGTGCGAGAAAGTCTCTTGCTATTTGTGCTTCGATCTTACTATACGCGTCAGCTAAAATAGTTTTTTCGATCCTCTCTATGTATGCTTTTTCTTGTTCTCCCTTCCTTTTGTGGGTCTCTAATTCTTTGGTCAATTTTTCGAGTTCTGCAATTTGCACTTGTTGTCGTTGTTTTTCTTGTTCAGCACGTCTTTGCTCTTCTTGAACAATTTTAAGCTTGTTTTCGAGGTTTTGCTTTTCTTCTTCTTCTTTTTTCCTTAATTCTTCTTTGGCTGCTTCTATATCTTTAATTTTTTTAGCGAGGTCTGCTATTTTTTTCGCTTGGTCCTTTTTATCTTTCTCAGCCTCCTTATGTTTTAATTCAGCTTTTGTAAGCTCCTCATTCAATTTTTGATCTGTTTCTTGTTTTGTTCTCCTTAGTTCATCTTGTTTCTCTTTCATTTGACTTATGTCTTCCTCAAGCTTTGAAATTTGATCAGTATAGGTTTTTTTCTGTTGTTGAGCTTTCTTTTGTTCTTCTTTAGCGGTGTCAAGCTGTTTTTCCAGTTTTTCATTTTCTTCATCCTTTGCTTTTAATTGTGCTTTAATGTCTTCTACTTCCTTAGATCTTGCTGAGACTTCGCCTTCCTTTTCCTTCAAGTCCATTTGTAATTTATCAAGGCTTTCCTTTGAAATTGAGTTTTTCTGCAGAGATATGCTTTGTGATGTATCAGGACTGTTCAAGACATTTTGTAAGCCAACAGCAAGAGGCTCTTCTGGTACAATTTCCGCACTTTTTGGTTCTGAAGGTTCATCACTTTTTTGTGTGATATCAAACAATGACCATTTTCCGTTCTTTGATAAATCAATTTCCTACAAAGAACCGTATAAGTGATGAATGATGGTAAGTTCATTTTTCATTTCTTCATTCAGGTATACAAAAACTATTTAGAGATAACAAGTTAAACATAGACAGAATATGTTTACCAACTCGAATTTATAAAATTCATCCAATCAGTTTTTTTCAGTTCCTATGCTCAGCCAAAACTGGAGAGTCTACACAATTTTTAAGAGAATAAGACTTCTTGAAGGAAAACAACTCCTAAAAAAATATGACTATAGGACTTCATCGATTTTGTTTACAAAGACTTTTTAAAACTTATTGACTAGTATATGATTCAAGGCACATATGCGCTAATTTTAGTATCACCTTCATTTTTTCTTCAAATTTTGACACAGACGTCTAAAACCGGATTTTTGACAACCCTAGAGATAAACCTAGAAAAAAGTTAACGAGTTTGCGCTATCATCATTGTTAGGACAAATATTCAGGAGTATCTAGTGAATTTTTAAGCTCGACCGGACGTTACTCCATCGTAGGGATCCAGTGTTGAACCTATATTGATAATGAATGAAGAGCTGCCATAGTCATTCGGATACGTTGTTTTTAGGTGGGATTTTCGTATAAAGATTCCTGTTCACAAGTCAGCAAGTTTTTGGTGATATTGCTTGCTGGTAGAATATTACGCTATACTATTGAGCGATTTGATTTTCTTTCCTTATGCCGGTTTCTGCGTCTAAGATTTGTCTGGCTCTTTCACAGAGATTTATGAAAGTTGAAGAGCTACTATGGTGGGACAGTATCCATCACATATGTATCTACCTAGGTAAAAGGTTGAGCTCCGGAAAGAAAAAAAATTGTTAGAGTCTCATAATAGATGTTGAAGAAAGTTTTATGGTATTCGATTTGATGGACTTTTAGTTATCCTAGCTGGCTAGAATATTTTTCCGGTGCGAATGATTATCACTGGTTATCAACTAAAAAGCTTATGGTATTTGGATACAGATCGTTATCTGTGCGTATATTAGTAACGAAAAGATCCCAGCATCTGAAGCATTACTCTTGAGTAGAGAAGCAACTATGTTCAGGAAATGAAGCGTAGTATATCCATTAGAGAAGAGGTCTAGTTAGGTATGACAATTATTTTGACTTGAGCGTTCATAAAATAATGTACGTCCCGAATGGAGTTTTCTTCATTTCAGAAAAAGATATATATGATTTGCTGAAAGATTAACAAAAATGAGCTGCTCATTATTAATTGTCTCATTGTTACCTTTTTACTCGACAGTATAACTGTTTAAGTTTTTTATTTATATGAATAATCTAACAGCAACTTAAAATGGAGTAAAACTATTCGAACGTGAGTGCAGCTTTTTCTTTTTACCTTATTTGTTTCATCTAAGCTATCTTCATCGACGTTTCCGTTCAGAAAAGTTCGTGGTGTGAGATCTTCATCGTTTTCGTCTTCTTCTTTAAAATCATCGTCTAATTTCGTACTTGGTTTGGTAGGACTCATTTTTGAAACTTCCCGAAGTCGTTTTGTCGTCAAAGGTATCGGTTGAACATGTGACAAATTTTGATAGTTATCTATTTCATGAATTTTATTTCGATACCGTTCATCATTTGCAATTAATTTCGGAATCCATCGTATGCAACCTGATACTGTTTTGTCACTATTTTGAAGCGTAAACTCTTGAAGATCAAAGTCGAAATCATCTTTCAAAAACTGCAGCTCCATATTCATTTGTTTTCGTCGATAATTTATAGCATCGTCAAGACGTGCATTGATCTTATTCGTACAGTTATACCAACAGTTCAATTGTACTTGAAATTTGCTATCATAAACCGCTGGTATATCAGTTATATTCCAAGATGCTGGACTTGCAGTTTGGATTCCTGTATGTTTTAAAAGCATTATTTGCCATCGTGCATAACAGTCATAATTGAAAATTGATGAACCACGACACCGTACCCATGCACGTTGATTATTTGGATCACGATTTATACCAGATCGTACAAAGTCAACGATTGAAACGCTAAAAGTATTTGGTGGTACACCCAAGTAGATTGTACGTTGCATTTCTTCATCAGGTGATATGATTAATGCTTCACTTAATTCTTTTGATTCATCATCTGAAAATTGGGACCATTGAGGATTTGATACTGATTTATATTCCCAAATACAGTCAAATGTATTGTTTTCTGGTCGTTCTGAAATCGGTTTTTCGGGTAATGTTTTTGCTGTGGTAGAATAACCAAGAATAAGAAATTTTTCAAAGAATTCACGAATATTCCCGTGTCTTTGTCCATTCATTATGGGTGTTTCTTGTATTTGATTTCGAATGAAATAATCAGCACCACGTTTAATTAAATATTGAACAATTTTCAAATGTCCATTGTAACAAGCACCATGTAGTGCTGTTGAACCGGATGATGGATTTATCTGTTTATAAGTGCTTTCTACATGTGTTTGTAATACATCTTCAAGTTGTTGTTGATTTTGAGCATTTATAGCACACTGAGCTGATTCAATAAGATATCTCACTAGTACTTCATGATTATTTCTCGCTGCTGAATACAATAGAGTGGTTCCATATAGTCCAGGTTTATCTTTGAGTGTTGGATACTTGTTTAAGAATTCTAATACAGGGTCTTTACTTCCCTTATACGCTGCTGCAAATGCATCGATTGAAGCTAATGCAGCTTCTAGGTCACGTGCAAACGGGTCAAGAGTATCCATATTGAATGAACTTGTAAAATTTCGCATATTTTCATCATAGTCATATTGCTGAAGGAATTTAAATAGATAATTCCTACAAATTCCACTTAGACGTCTTACATAATTATTAAGCATTTCCATAAGTTTCACCTTAAGTAGATCGATAGCGGTATCCTCAGATTTATCTAATGTAAACGAATGAATGTCAATTGTCGATGCTTGCAGTTGTTGTTCAGTGGGCCGTAGTTGTTCAATAGTTTCATGAATAGCTTCAATCATATCCTTGAAACATTTTTTTAAATTCTTTTTATCTTGTTCGTCATCCATCACGTCAACTATAGAGATCAGTAGAGATAGAGAAGTAAAATAGGTTCTCTATTATTTTAGCAAGACAAATCTAGATGAAACAAAAACAAAAGAAATAGAAAGCTTTGACTGAAGTAGTTAATAATTAGAAAAAATAAAGTATATGATAGGTCTTATTTACACTCTCTCTGTTATTGAAAATCTAATGCCAACTATATCTATATACAGGAATGGCGAACATAGAAATCTACGGTTTGGAAAATTTCATCGATAAGTAATGAAAAACTACAAAACCTTATGCATGCGAAAGTGAGAAAAGAAAAGAGTATGATTATAGTTGTGGCTATAGAGAATACGATGATTGTAAATTTCAGTGACTTCCTTCCTCACTCACACTCACACCCTCGAGCCGCGAAAGCATTTGTCATGCGGCTGAATATAAAAGTTAAATTCTTGTAAGGAAAGCGATTTTTAGAATATATCTTACTATCTTCAATTAATCTACAAGTTACACTGGCGAACGTTCACTTGATCAAAGTCTCACTGGTAATGTTCACGTTATTTATCCTAACACTTACACATAACTAATAATTAGAATAAGATAGAGAGGGTGTGGGTGTGGGTGGGAGAGATTAGAATACGAACACCCACACCCACACCCTTCATTATGCTTTATTTGCCACAAAGAAGTCTTTTTTGTAAGTGGTACTTGTTGAATGGATTCATCGGTTTAATTGGATAAAGTCTAGATACACTGGCGAATCTTAACGGGCTCTCCAAATAGCGCTTTTTAATCCGTCTTTCTGGTCAGTACGAATTGGTCTCATCCTGAACTTTTTTGTTATGTGTTAGGTTCCATAAATCGTTATCATGCTATAATACTGAATTTCGTATGCAGAAAGGCCATTTGAACACCCTCTGATATCTGTTCCTCACACGGACACTCTCCTCCGAAAATGAAAATAGTTTTTCGATAAGCATGGAGTACTCCGTACACATAGGGCCATAGTTTAACCTTATCCGAAAGCAGCGAAATTTATTCTGAAGTACCCTTATTTGCCATTGATGAAGCTTCTATTCCATAGATAAGTCTTTCTGTGATCTCTCACCTTCACCCTGAAGACACCTTGTTTCGTATAAAAAGTTACTTATAAGGTACTTACACGCTAAAAGATGATTTTCTGACGTTTCAGGGAATGAGACTAAGGATGCAGCAAATCTGGTGTCTTGGGATTCATTAGGGGATGTTTGAATTTGATATTGGGAATCCAGCAGTGTCACAGATCTAAAAACTTGGAGATCTCTTAGATCTCTAAAGAGATCTCCAATACATAGAAAAAATTACCATATGCTATAGAAGATCTACACAGAAATCCTACCCTTCTCACTAACAACAATCCTCCATAGAGATACCGCATCTCTAATCAGATCTCTGATAGAGATGCCGTATTTCTAGGAATCAGATCTCTAAGAGAAAAAAATATTTGGAATTTTGACCCTGGGGAGGATGCTAGAGATGCATCTCTAAGCAGAGATGCGGCATCTCTTGCAGAGATACCGCATCTCTACTCAGATCTCTACTAGAGACGCCGCATCTCTAAGAATCAGATCTCTAGCATTCTCCCAAGGCTCAAAATTGGAAAAATATTTTTCATTTAGAGATCTGATTCCTAGAGATGCGGCATCTCTAGTAGAGATCTGATTAGAGATGCGGTGTCTCTGCAAGAGATGCCGCATCTCTGCTTAGAGATGCATCTCTAGCATCCTCCCCAGGGTCAAAATTCCAAATATTTTTTTCTCTTAGAGATGCGGCGTCTCTAGTAGAGATCTGATTAGAGATGCCGCATCTCTAAGTAGAAAGTTTCCTTTGTGAATTGTAGATATTATTGCTTCAAAACGACTTACAAATTCTCGATATAAATAGAATTCTACACCCACACATCACAGCACTAGATGTGGGTGGGCGGAAAGGAGTTTCAACAGGGGACGTGTGGCATCCGTTGCAGGATATAGTACAGTGCTCTGGGCATCCTAAAGATCCGGCATGCCTATTAGAGATCTGATTAGAGATATGGTATCTCTATGGAGTGTTGTTGTTAGTGGGAAGGATGTCATTTTTATATAGTACTTCTATAGTGTATTGTAATTTTTTCGATATGTTAGATATCTTTTTAGAGATCTTAGAGATCTCTAATTTTTCAGATCTGTGACACTACTCTGGGAATCCGCATTTGTCGTTCCACTATCATCGATGATCGAAAGGCGAGCAATAACAAAACTATTCTTTATTCAACCTTAGTAGACATGCACAGTTATCTCAACATAAACAGAATACAACTGGGAAGAATACTCTTTTATCGTATTGTAACAAATGTGTAAATGACGGGTACTTGGTAGGAAAAAATCGCATAAACTTTCTTACGGGACTTTTAAAGCATCCTTTACTGCGTTTCATACATGGATATAACTTCCGTAGGCACATAATTTGAATGGCTGACTAGATTCTTCCTACGAAGAATATGTATTCAAACATTCAATTTTAGATACCTTGAGCTCCGTGAAATGTAATTCTCTTCGAGATGAGTAACAAGTGATTGGAGTCCGCTGCGTTGATCAATACTTTTGAAAAAAGAAAATCTAAAAAACGAAAGCAAGCCGAAATAGGTTTTGTCCTTATATATTTACAGCATTACCAGAGTTTTACTTTTAGTTGTGCAATATTTGTTATAAATGAAAAACTTCTCTTTTCATCATGATAAAACAGCACTGAAAACATTTACTCATTTTTATTACTCGTAGTGCTTGAGTGAAACTGATACCTTTTTAAAGAACAGACAGTGAATCAGCGGGAAGCTATCAGGCTTATTGTAGCAGCGAAAATCGAATTATTCTCTTTCTCCGGTTACATTACTGTCAATATTTATTGGACAAAAAAATAAGAAAAAGTTCTCATGAGTCTGTACTGGGTTCTTTGTGTTCACAGTATTGAATTAAAACTTATCGGGTGGCCCAAAAAGAATGAGGTTATAGTATTTCATGGATATCTCGGAAGCTATCCATTACTTATCAATATCTGTTTTTACTTGAAAGAGAATTTTCTTCTCTACAAATTCATAAGAACACACACCGTGCTATCGTACAATTTTCTTATTCGAAAATATGAAGAGTAAAGACCTCCAAAATCTAGTAGGGTGTGGGTGTGGGTATAGGTCTTTTCATCCAGACCCACACCCAGGCAGGCAGGCTAGGATTAATGTAAGCCTGTCTCAGACAGGCCAGGCCTTCAAAAAGTGGACCTGTTTCAACCTCTGCTAGCTACAAGGTACGATGGAGTTTTATTCAAAAGTTTCTGACAACTAATGTCTTATGAAACTGAAAGAAATCGTTTTGATTCGTTACTGGCTGCTTACAGTGGTTTGTCATCATTTTGGGTTATAGCACTTAATTATAAAGCGCCCCATTGACTTACATTTATAAAGCTCTATGTTGATCAGTTATTTTTCCATCACACCTAATGATGAACTAACACCCTTTGGCATAAACCATGCCAAACAAAAGCTTAGTAGCTGTTGTGTGTTCATCGTTTTCCGACCGCAACCTTTGTATAAAACCCCGATATTTTATTTGATCCCAATCAGGGAGTACGTAATTGTTAAAAGCGCTCTGACTCAGTCTTGAGATGTAGTTGCATAAAGTGTAGTGCGCTGAAATTTGTGCAATAGTATAGTATAAACTATTCTATGGCTGAGATTTTTGTTCACCAGTTTTGAAGTATGGAGGTGAGTTAGGGTTTAATTGGAAAGAGGATGGATCCTCTATACTTACACTCATACCTATCTTAACAATAAAGTAATTTGCTAGATTATTGATTGACGAATTGCTATCAATCCATCGGGAGAGCGAAAATCAGTCACGATTATTAGTTTTGTGTGTATTGAAATCATGTTTAATCAGCACTTCAATCATATGTCAGTTATTTTAATGACATTTGGAATTTTTTTTTCTAGGCTCAGATATTCTTCCAATAAGTTACTCATCAAAATCAAGTAATCAAAACCAACTATACCTAGTTAATTTCACTGATGCTTGACTCCGAGTTCGATGACTGCTGTGTATGTTAAACGGGTGTGATTTTTGCTGAATGACTCGTTGGTTTGTTTTTCTATGATGGCAACATTTTGTGCTTCGTTTTTGTTTGCTTTCGCCTGGTTTTTTTTTCGTTTTTCTTTTTGAATTCTTTTCAACTACACACTCTATCAAGAGGGGCTGCACATAGCAACGGTGAGACATTCAAAATAAAGAATACAAAATGATTAATTATAAACAAGAAAAAAAAATCCCACCAAAACAAGAAACTCCGTTTTGTAGAGTTTGCAAACATCTATTTTCATTGTCACATAAAGGCTGTTCGGTAATAACTGAAGATAATTTGTTATTCATATTTTTTTATACTTTTGTCGAACGTAGAGGACTGAAATTTTTATCACATATATATCTAATTATGTTCTTTTATTTCTGAGAGCTTCATCTCTCTAACTAGAGCTAATAGTGAAACACAACCATAAAATTGAAACACCTAAAAAGTGTAATCAAATAGCAGAGGATAAATTTGTTAATGCCGTTGTTCATGGTTCTGTCTGACGAAGAGGGCTGCAATTTTTATCATATGTATACCGAACCATACGCTTTTGTTTCTGAAAGTTTCAGCCCTTCAGCTATAGCTAGTGATAAAATATAACGATAAAACCGAAATGCATAATTTTTCGTACTCAATTTTTGTGTCGTTGTTTCATAGTGAAAAATAAAAAGTTTTCGAATATAAAAAATCTTGTGTTTCAATTTTATCGTTGTATTTTACCATTAGCTATAGCTAGAGAGGTGAAACTTTCAGAAATAAAAGAACATAATTAGATATGTATGTGATAAAAATTTCAGTCCTCTACGCTCGACAAAAGTATGAAAAATATGAACAACGATTTATCCTCAGTTATTACCAAACACCTTTCATGTAGCAGTTCATG